TTAAGGGTTTCTTCACAGGTTTTAACCAGGGGTTTAGTCCTAGATAGTCTCAACAACAACCTTACTCTCTTAACCTGTGTCCTAGAAACGGCTCCCACTTGGAAACAGTTGGAGGAATGTAGATTTAAGGACGGGGAGGGGGCGAAGAGGCTCCGATTTCCTGGTTCCCAGGGGGTGGTTCAACAAGGCAGCCCGTCCTCTCTATGAACTCCTCCAGAACAGTGGCGGGTCGGCTGATTCAAGTGTAACTGCTGCCCCGTGGGTAGGGGTTGGAAGTCAATGTCCTGCAGTCATCCTTGCGGATGGTGTGTGTGTGTGCGTGTGTGTGTGTGTGTGTGTGTGTGTGTGTGTTGATGTGTGTGCGTGTGTGTGTTGATGTGTGTGCCCGTGGATAAACAGTACCTTTTCAGGATATATTCTTATTGTAATGTGGCCTAAATTCTCTCTAATTAACCATTCTGAAGCCTTAAGAAAGCTCTCTTGTCTGTTATTAGGGAGCAATACCTACACTGGGAACACAGCTGGTGCACATAACCGACATTCCCTTTCACTTAGGCCCACATACCATTTGCTAAGACCAGTAACTTTCCCCTCTGGACTTGCCCAGGATCCGGACCCGCCCAGAGAATTCCCACTCGAAAAAGCCTGCCTAGAGTCCTTTACAATCGCTGACTCCCCATCCCTGGGTGCTGGTGCCATTTTGGGACTCAGCCCATCTAGTTTCCAAATGACCTAATAAATTTATAATCCCTTACCACTTTGGGCCTGGTGCATTCCTTTTTCGGTGACCCTAACAACCCCCCAACAGAAACAGCCAATCCCTTCTGAGAGCTGGGCCTTGGAAACCAGGCACAGTCTTCCTTTCCATTTCCTCCAGGTGGCTGCTGTGTAAGGTTCCTATTTATTTGTGCTTAGAGTGAACTACCTAGGTTCTCTTGGCTCCGTGACAAGAAAATTAGGGAAAGGAGTAGAGGATATGGGAAGAACAGGAGGGTAGAATTGCTTTCGTAAAATTATCAGCACAAAAATAATCTCCCTGCAGGACTAGCAAACAACACAGCATGTATGCAAGGATCCTTTCATTTAAGAAGTCATGGACCTGCTGACGAATTCTAACATGGAACATTTTAGGGAGAAAAATAATACTGGGGCATTTCCCTCTCATTCTAAGGCTTAGCTTAATGTGGTCTATTTGGCCTCTTGGAATGGGAATTAATTATTCATTATTTTTCTCTCCTATTACAAACTTTCTAGCTACTTTTGGAAGGGAAAGGTGAGTGGCCTCTTTTTAAGAGTTCCTATGTGTCTTTTTAGTTTCTTTGCTGGAGCTGTGTTATTTTCTAAATTTTCTCTTAGAATCAGTGGCTACAACTGTTTCCTATCTCTACCCCGCCCCCCGCCCCCACCCCCCGTTTTGCTATCTCTTTCCCACCCTTGTTTCCTTGTTTTGTTCGGATATATATTGTCAAATTTATATCATCCAGCTCATTCGTGTTAATCACTCTGTTGCCAACATACAGAGATGCAAAATTCAGAAGAGAATCTTAAACAGCAAGGACACCCGCAGGAGTTTTAAACATGACATGTTCTTGAAAATATGGGACCAGGTTTATTTTAATCATCATTAGCATCATTTTTATGTAGTCTTCGCACTGAATAAATTATTCAAGCATCACAAAGATAATCAGACAAAGAAAAAACACCCAGCAGTAGCACCCATTTGTAAGTCTATGCCAGTGTCAACTCACAGTGACATTATTCCTTTGTCAGTAATAGTTAGAGGTCAGA